AGGGGTTGGAATGATAGTGGCTAGGGTAACCATCCTGAAGCGGTGCCTCCACAGGTACCGATTTAATCCTCTGAGGTCGAGAGTCGGTCTCCATCCCCCTGATTTCTTCTCTGTTAGGAAATATCGGGAATAGAACCCCCGTCCCCGGAACTCTTTTGGTACTATTTCTATTGCTCCAATGGTGAGGAGGCGATTGACCTCTTGTTGTAAGAGAGGTTCGTGAGATGGGTCCCTGAAAAGGGATGGGGTAGGGGGGTTGGGTGGGGGTAGAGTGGTGTTGTAAGAGAGGTTCGTGAGATGGGTCCCTGAAAAGGGACGGGGTAGGGGGGTTGGGTGGGGGTAGAGTGGTGAATGGAATGGTATGCCCTAGCGTGATTGTCTGCAATACCCATCTGTCGGTGGTGATGTGAGACCATCGGTATTCGAAGGGTCTCAAGCGATGGTGGAATAATGCCTGTGGAGGGTTGGGATGGGTGTTTAGCGGAATGGTGCACAGTCCCTGGACTGGGATGTCAAACTTGTTGCTTGGCATTTAGACGGCCAGATGTTTTTGGCTGAGGTCTTCTTTTCTGCTGGCTGCATTGCTGGTCCTGCTGTCTATATTGAGATGGTTGGAAGGTGAACGGTCTCTGTCTCTGATAGGGAGTGTACCTCTTCCGACGAAAGGGAGGAGTATACATGCCTAGGGTCTTGAGTGTGGTTCTTGAATCTTTACCTGAATGAAGAACCTGGTCGGTTTTGTCAGAGAAGAGATTCTGTCTATCAAAGGGTAAGTCCTGGACCTTGGTGAGAAGGTCTTTAGGGACTGCTGCCTGGTGCAGCAGAGAAGCCCTGCGCATGACCACGGATGTGGCTGTGGTACAAGCTGCAGTGTCTGCCGTGTCCAAAGCTATGTGGAGAGCTGTTCTGGAAGCCGCATAGCCTTCTTGGACTACTGATTTGAGGACTTCCCTCTTGCCCTCGGGTAGATGTTCTAGAAGGGGAATTAATTTAGTGTAATTATTGAAGTTATGATTAGCGAATAGTGCGGAATAATTTGCCATACGGAGCGTAAGGGTTGCAGACGAGTAGCCCTTTCGACTGAAGAGGTCTAGCTGTTTCATATCCCTGTCCGGCATATTTGATCTTTGTTGCGGGCCCCTCGTTCTTTGCTGGGCTGCATCGGCAACTAGAGAATTTGGTTGGGGATGAGAGAAAAGAAACTCCATCCCTTTAGCCAGGACATAATATTTTTTGTCTGCTTTTTTGTTAGTGGCCGATGTAGAAGCTGGTAACTGCCATATGTCGTCGACAATCTCAAGAATGGCGTTATCGAGTGGAAGAGCCACCTTAGCCTGATGTGAAGGGTGAAGGTTCCTGAGGAGGTGATGGGACTTCTGTTGGACTTCTGCAATTTGCACGTTCTGTGACGCCGCCACGAAATCATCCGATGGTGATGTATCTTCCTGAAACACTGCATCATCCAGCGAGGAAGAGGATTGACCTGTGGGAGATTCATCCTGAGGTTGGTCCTGAACGGTATGTTGTTGTGGGACCTGTGGCTCAGGCGGCTGGGGAGGCGGAATACCCAATGGAGTTGGTGGTCTGGTTGATGGTAAGGGCTGGCACTCCCTGCTGGGTGGTGTGTGTGACCGGTGTGGAGAGCACGATATTGAGGAACGACGTGTGGAGGAGTGAGAATAATGCCTGTAATACCGGTGGTGTTCCGGAGACCTATGGTAATATCGTGAGCGATGAGAGGTATAGTATCCGTAGCGACCGGAGACTGATAGAGACCTAGGGGATCGGGACGGTTCCCTGGATCTCAGAGCTGGTGAAGGTGACCTGCGATAGTGGCGTCTTGGTGAAATACGAGGAGAGCGGTAGACCCTCTGCGCGTGTCTAATGGATTGGGCTGAGAGCCCTGATGAAGGAGAAGGCGGTTCCGGTGAAACCTGGATGTTTTCAGGTGTGGGAGACGGTGTAATGATTCTCCTGGACCTTGGATGGGTGGTTGTGGCAGTTTGCCCTGCAGAGGGTCGTGAGGGCTGTGCATGAGATTGAGTCGGTGCCGGCGGTGCCGCGCTGGGAAGCGGAGAGCCTTGTGGGAGAGGAGACTCCTGAGCCGGGGTGAGTCCCTGCACCGAAGAATCACTCGGTGCCGGCGAGTTGCTCGGTGCCACTGAAGGGCATGGTGGGGAGAGGAGACTCCCGAGCTGGGGTGAGTTCCCGTACCAAAGAGTCACTTGGTACCGGCGAGTTGCTCGGTGCCGCTGAAGGGCATGGTGCCGAGTGGCGAATCGGTGCTGGCAGCGCGCTCCGTGCCGGCAGCATGCTCTGCGCCACGGGCACTTAGGCGCCAGAATAGTTGCGGGCTGCGGAGCCAAAGTGCTACGGTAGACAGGATACTGGGCTAGATGGACCTTTGGTCTGACCCAGTACGGCCGTTCTTATGGCAGTGCTTCGCCTTAGAAGAGCCATGCACGCCCGAGGTGCACGGTTTGTCCTCCACACTAACACGCATCGGGGGAAGGGAACAAGAAGGCGATGGTCTTCTCTTCGCCTTCTTTGGGGACAGCTTGGCTGAGGGAGCAGGAAGGGATCCGAGAGTTGCTCCATCTTGTGGCTGTGATGCCCTATCGAAGAGGACCATTTTAAGCCTCATGTCCCTGTCCTTTCTCGCTCTTGCGGTGAGTTTAGAGCAGTGAGGACACTTCTGGGGTATGTGTCCCTCACCCAGACACCTGATGCAGAGAGCGTGACCGTCGGAGGCAGGCATTGCTTCCCGGCATGAACCGCACTTCTTAAATCCAGGCAAACCCAGCATGATGGCCCCTGTCTTCCTCTGAGTCAGGGGGAGAAACTATTTACAGATAACTTGAGGAAAAAAAATTTTTTTTTTTAAACTAGAATGACTACGACTAATAACTAACTAATTAACTGGGGAGAACTAACTATTAAATAAACCAAATGAAATGAGTTCCTCCTCTCTCTCAGTCTGACAGGGCTGAGGAGAAACGTATATTCCGTCCGCGGCCAAGGACGGTCAGGAGGAACTGGCGGGGGGCGGGCGGGCAGCACGAGCTGCGCTTCGCGCATGCGCGGTCCGGCAGACTACGGCTGCAAAAGTTCTCCGATCTGCGGCACCGGGACAAGCCCGACACCTATAGTGGAGCACCCACGGGACACTGCTTGAAGAAGAAGAAGTTTTACTTGTTGTACTTTGTCCTGCTATTTGCTCTATTATCTTGTTAGAAAGATATTTTTATAATTAGAGACATCCACAATTTTCTCAGAACATAGCATTACTTGAAAGGATCTGATACTGCACTACCAAAAGTGTGCTTTTCAGCCTGTTTCAACTTCTAAAAAATACATGTGTGGTTTTCGAATGTTTTACTTCTACGTTGAAAATTAAAAATCTGCCTTTGATCTGTGGTTTTGAATGGATTGGACATGTTAGCATTTTGCATTGCATAACAAAAAGCCTATATAATACAGTGTGACAAGTCAAGTTTGGACATTCTGAAAAAGACTTCTTTCATTGAAAGCTTCATCTTAAAAAAAAGTCAGTTTTTAGTTTCACTTCACTGCAGTACAGAAGATACAAAATGGGGAAGTTGACTTCTCTTTTTTGCTTGTTGTAGGTTGGGTTTTTTTTAAACTCTTTTTCCTATGGTGAATCTAATTATGGCAATGCGTGTGGGATAAAGCATTAATCTGCTATTTTAGCATTCACATATCTGGAATTTTAAAGGTCCATGAACTTTTCAAAATAACGTAAAAAGTAGTAAATGGGGAATTACACTAGAAAGTTGCTAGAAATGTTTTCACCGTGGGTGAGTCTACACTGTGGTGCTAGCTCGAAATAATTATGCAATTTGAGCTACGCAAATATTTCAAAATAGACTGCTATTCCGACAAGTCCCTTAATCTTTGTGCAATGAAATTTACCGGGATGTCAGAACAGCGTGCCTGTTATTTCAAATACATTTTTAAATAATATGTGCACTATCAAGATGCGGAAAATGCAATTTTGGGATACCAGAGGTATCCCAAAATAGCGTCGCAATGTAGACTTACCTCATTTCTGCATCCTGCTCCTGTCCATCCAAAATATTTGCATAGTTAAATAAGATCAGGTATTCTCCATTTCAATCTCCATTTCATTATAATTTAGTATTTTTACTAGTCCTTTCAGAGAAGTATACACAGAGCTAGTCTGAGGATGGCCCTCTAGGGATGGATGGAGTGAGTAAGAAAAGGAAAGGGAAGCAAGGAACTTTTTCACACTTTCTGTCCCTTCATGGGGTTCAGCCACAATCTTTCAACACTAGTTCTCATTATAAAGGCTATCCCTCTTGTGGAAACAGCTTATACCAGCACAAGGAATTATTTTGTTAGAATTGTTAAATGTTCTTCCCAAACAACAAACAAAATCATTCCTTGTGCTGGTATAAGCTGTGGCTACATCAGGAGTTTTGCTGGCATCGTTATGTTGGTTAGAGGTGTGATTTTTGACCTCACATCTTGCCACAGATACACTGGCAACACTTTGTAGGGCAGACCTGGCATCAAACATATGTCAAGTTCCACGGTCAGTCTACATGTGCAGTTGCATTGGTTTAACATTCGAAGTTGCTATAAACTGATTTAGTCAAACTAATGCAGATGGCTGTGGGTGAATGCTCTCATTTAGGTTTAAACCAGATTTATTTCTAATTTAGGTCAAGTTGACTAGGTCTTGTAAATTGATTTTTTTACTAATTTAAGTTAAACTGAAAGGAGAATTTGAATCCAAAAAGTGTCCAAAATAAACCGATAAAAATGTGTGTCCACAGAGGGGTTTTCACTGGTTTTGCAGAACCAGCACATCTAAATCTATTAAATCAAACCAGTTCATGACTTTATGTAAACAAGGCCCAGCTCTCTCAGAAAGAAAGAGGGCAGGTGCAAGACATGAACATTCACTGTCCAGATATAAAAAGGAACACAATCCAGCTTTGCCACTGTTGCTCCAGTGTGCACTTTCCCAAGGCCTCATCCTGGGCATCTGCTGAATGAAGCACTCCACCTATGTCCCACATGGCCAGTGGTTTTACAAACCATAACCTGGTGAACATCATCTAAAAGAGTCTTTGTGGATTTTGTTAGGAATACAGTAAGTAAAAAAGTATTAAAATATTTGGGTTGTTTCATAATTTGGTGCATTAAGAATGTAAACATTTTTCCATGGGTCTAGATTAATACTAGCAAAATATTCTAAATCATCCTTATGATACCAGAAAGGAAGGACTGATTCTATAATGAAGGCTGCTTCTGCTTATCCACTCTCAGAAGAGTGGCTGGACAAAATATTTTAAAACACATGTGCAACATTCCGTAAGCAATTATAGAGGGTGTGGTGGCAAAACAGCCTGCACAGTAATACAGAAAACACATTGATTTTTCTCACACAATGTGTCTCCTATTAGGTACGGCACACTAGAAATGGTTGCTGTTACATAAAGTACAGCTAGGGTTTAGAAGGAACTTGGTATACCACCAAGATACACTAAGTTTTTTCTGAAAAGAAGACTGGTTATTCACTGCTAAAACGTTAGGTCATTCAAAACTTGGTACAGCAAAGTATTTTCAGCCTAACTTTCCAGTGTGTCTCAATACACACATTGACCTGATCCATGGGCTGGTATTCAATAAATCTGTTTTTTTTAATCTAAAGGCAAATTACGTGAAAGAAAAATTCTGATTTAAGGTTTCTGAAGGTGCTTATCTTGATAGTATCTAGGGTCCTGAGTCTACAGTATCTAAATACTAAAGGGAGAATTTCAAAAGCACAGATGCCTTTGAAAAAAATCTCTCCTTGTATCTTCCTTCCCAGAAGGAAGATTTTTTTTAAAAACACACAACAGTAAGTATAAGTTAAATGAAAAATTTAAAAATTCTGAAAAAATACATTTCATGAGCTGTTTTATTTGTTTTTAATAGAAAATTTGTTTACATGAGAAGAGACATACAGGGATACTGAAACAAAAACTGCAGGTTAAATGCAAATCAGTAAATTAAAAATATGAATTGCCTTTCATAACTATACGGCAAAATAAAGGAAAAAAGATTAGTAAACTAAATTACTATGCAGTAGCACTTCAAGTATTGAGTGGTTTCAGGAGAATTAGATCTTTAAACTGCAATTACATAAATTTTCTCACCTACTTGCTCAAGTGATCATTTATTTGCTAGCTTACCTGATTGTAAATGTATACTGAAGAGTCATACATTCAAATTGGATTCTTCAAAAGCCAGAGAAATGGCAATATAACCCATGAAATTAAAATCGTGTAAAGCATCAAGGATAGCTTTCACCATTTATATAATCATATATCCCATTGATACTCAGAGAAAATATAGGCTTTATGTCAGAAGAATCACATTTACTAATTTATAAATAATAATGTTCCCTTCATACTAAATATTATTCAGATAAATCAAAGCAGAAGTGAAATAATTAATGAATTAGTTACTCTATCATAAAACCTAGGTTCTTGGCATACACCAGCTAAGAAGAACAATCTGGCTACAATGGCTGAAGAAACAATTCTGGGATCTGCATGAGCCATCTGATGTGTTTAGAATGTGGTAAGGCCTGCAAAGTGCTGCATCCTGTCTCAGGACTGCCACTGAAATTGCTTACTGTGATTCAAAGTAGTACTGACAAGTGACCCATCCACTCTCCAGTGGAAAACAGTTGTTCCGGAAGAGAACAGGACTGGCAGCTAGGAATTCTGACTCTCGCCTAACTTTCTGAAGCTCTGGACCCTGAATACTACGGATGGAGTGTGTAGAGATCATAAAAAGGGTATAAACTGCCCTGACAAAACAACCGACCACTTTGCAGGGGGAGCTCTCAGATCAATTCAGAGCTGGCATAACAGCTCTGCACAGATTCCTCAGTCTGATCCTGAGGAATTCCTGAGGTCTAGAAGAAGCAAGACTATAAAGTATTGCACTTTGGCTAGACTGTGTTGGTGACATGGCTCTTTATGGCATGAAACTGACAGTAGACGTGGCACGCCGTAAACTGCCTGGGTGGTGACAAAGCAAGGAACTCTGAACTGGGACAGAATTAGGGAGTCATAGAAGTGCTTTTCCCTTCTCCTCATTTCCTCATGCCATGCTCAGGAAAGGGTACTAAAGAATTTGGCTCCCTTTTCTGCTTCCCTGTCTGTAAAATGGAAATCTTAGTACTTCTTGACCTACTTCACACAGATTTTATGCAAAATAGCATTTACATTTTAAGAAAAAAGTTAAGTATTGATATTAAAGCTTGGTGCTTGCTATAGGCATGCTAGCTCAAATCCTGTGATGTGTTGCTGATATTTTAACGGGCTCCCACATCTTGACCTTGGCCTGTGATAAGCCACATGATCCATGTGTGTGCACTATAAAGAAGGAGGAAGGAGTGCACAATCTATTCATTTGTTTACCATTTAAACAAAAGTGCTGTTGAAGAAGTCAGTTCACGTGGCAACAGACCCATTAAGAATCATTTTACAGTAGTACTGATAATGTAGCAGCATTCAGCTCCAGTGAATTAAAGGGGCAGGATAGAGTTCTTCTAGAGGATTTGGGAACAGGTTCCTATGGGATT